ATTAAGATATTTGCAGACATTTATAGTACCAGTCCATAAAAATGGGAGAATGCAGATGGTTTGTTATCTGTTTTTAACAATTTTTTGCACCTATAGTTTTTGTGATGAACATTGCTCTGAACTTTTGGAGCCAATGATTAATTTTTAAAAAGGTATCTACCTTGAATCAGCTACAAAGTACAAACCTTCATCATGTAAAATTGCACTCCAGTGCAAAATACGAATCTTCAGACTGAGGCATTTTGTTCAAACTTCAGCGATAACAAAAGTGAGTGAGTTCATTTATTGTGAGACCAAGTTATTTCTGCTGCAGTACTCCTTAAAAGATGACACAATAATGTGTTGGTAGTGAGATCATGGTTTATGTAAAAGAGGGGTTTAAAAAGCAGTGGAATATTGCATTGTTACTAGCTACTACCTTTTACCTATAACATTTCAAATAACACAAAATATATAAATAAATAAATATAATAGATTATTTTATTTTTCCTAAAAGAAACCATGTCAACGTCTTAATATAGGCCTAATTCATTAAATTTTTATTTAAAGAATACAAAAAAACTACAAAAAGAATTATCTCAGTAAAGATAAAACATAAAATATAACATAAATACAAATTTCCCAGCATTATATCACCTGATTGTCCTATTTAACCTTCAGTGATGACCAAAATAAATCTTGCTTTACATTTCTCAGATCAAATGCTACATGCAGCTGTGCAGAACCAGTGTTTTCTTCTAATGTCCACTTTATCCTCTATGTGTAGTACAAGTCTACTCTAACATTTGGTTGTATAAAATCTAAACCAGTTCTTTTTTAGAAGTCATATTGTGAAACAAACATGGTGACTTTGGTGATGTACCGACCTAGTTGCTCTCTCTTCTCCAGCTCGGTCATCTCTACCTCGGCCTCTAAAGTGACTGGACCCTGCACTGGGCTCACCAGCATCAACTGACCCGTGAGACGGTCGGAGCGCTGCACGGTGAAGTAGCGGCGTATGTGTCTGCCGCCGAGCAGAGAGAAGCGCAGCGTGTCCCCAACCTGACGCAGCGCAGACACTCGGAACATCACACGAGGGGCCGACAGGTTGGATACCACAGACAGGTAATGATAGGAGAAGGAGTTTGGGGCTTGAGAGCATGCTTTGTTATCCACTGGGCAGGGGTTACGCTCACAGCGCCTGCAAGATTAAGAAAATCTGGGTTAAAAGTAGTAATAAAAAAAAAAACATGTAGGGCCAACAATAGGGTCTGGAGTGGGCTCTCCTGTAAAAGAGATTACAAATATCTGGGAGTGGATCCGGATTAAATAATGGCTTAATTTGTAAATATAATGATTACTTAGAATACTTGTTACATGGTATTCTATAGAAAATAGGTGCTTACATTGGTGATGTCTTCACATATGTTGCATTAGGAATTTTAGGGCATTCAACGCGAACACATTGGAAACCACCATTTGTATTAATACATATCTGGTCCTTTGAACAGTTATTCTGTCTCGTAGCACATTCATCAATATCTGTAAAGAAGCAGCAAAATTTTATCAGCTGGACAAGGATGTTCAAATGTGGAGGCACAAAGAAATTTAAGTAATAATGTACATTGCATTAGTCATTCTACCTTTACAGCCACGTCCATCGCGGGTTATTTCATATCCTGCTGGACAACTGCAGCGGTAGCCTCCAGGGGTGTTCACACAGGTGTGAAGACAAAGTCTCCCAGCTTGTCCATTATGAAATAACTCGCACTCATCTATGTCTGAAATACACAACATATTCTCCTTTATACAAAACTAGCTTTGCATTAAGTCCACATGGTACAGTTGTCTACCAGTGCAAGTGTAGCTGTCTTTGTCTCTGCCTGTTATGGTGTACCCGGGCTCACAGGTGCAGTGGGTGGTGCCCTGTGTGATGGTGCATCGCGGCGGGCGGACAAAAGGTCCACTGGTGGCAGCAGGTAACGTTGTAGCAGCAGCAGCAGCAGGTGAGATGGCAGCAGATGTGTTTGTCATGGTCATAAAGACTGATGAAAAATATTTCCACATTATGAATTAACAGATTAACCGTTAAAATAGTTTTAAATTAATGATTAATTCCCTTAGGAGATTACATGTAGTGTAGGTGTGTGATATAGTATGTACTCACATGTTGGCACAGGACTCTGGCAGTTAACTCCAGCCCAGCCTTTGGCACAGACACAGGAGAATTGATTCACTTCATCCACACATGTTCCTCCATTCAGACACGGAGAGGAGGTACACTCATTGATGTCTGAAATATGAGACAAAAGTCACAGAAAATGTCACACAAGTAACCCAATAGGCTTGATGAGGAGATATTATAATATCATTGTGCCAGGCATTGAAACAAAATGAGGCTGATATCTTCATGCAGAATATAGGCGCCTCTTTATTGGTGGCTATCTCTAAATTGCTGTGCTGTCAGATCAGAGCAAGATGGTATATCAAATACCACAGAATTTTTTTGCTCTCATCCTTGTCTAAGATCAGCCAGTGTGTAAAACACAGGAAATGTGATCATGTGTGCTAGAGTAATCTGGAGAAAGATAATAAGAGAAATAGTACCTGGAGTGCTTGTTACACAGAGAATGATGGCAGAGTCCATAAAGTGATAGTTAGAGAGATATGTGGTGGTGATGCAGAAGAATGAGAAGTATGGCCTAACAGAAGGAGGGGCACTGCCCCTCCCTTGCTGCCATGGTTACCACTGACCTCGGCAGGTTGGCTGCTGGCCACTCCACACTAGACTTTCTTGACAAAGACGACTCTCAGATCCCACCAGCTCATAACCCGGGTCACACAGGAAGTGCACTTCATGGCCCACACTCTGAGATTTACCCAGTTTTCTCCCATTCACAGGGGCATCCGCTTTAGGGCAAGTGGCTGAGAAACAGGTATATGTACATTTTAAGGGCAGAGTTTTGGAAGAATATAAATATATGTGTAGTCAGATACAAAAACTCACTGTTAGTGGCTCTGGTTAGCTTTGTTGCACTGTTCTGTAAAAGGTTGATTTTCCTTTTCAGATCTTTTAAACTTTGTGCATATGATGTTTCATGAACTGTCAGAAGCTTCTGGACCTGTTTCAGAGTGCCTTGTATTTCCCGTCTGCTTGGACAGTTCTGAAACATATTCATGGTTCAGTAATCAGCCTTTTTCCTATTATATTCCCATTAAGGCCTGCTGAAAGAAGCAATTCAGAGGCAGTCTGTTAATAACCTTACAATCTCAAAAATCATAAATTGTGAAAATTAGCTTTGCTCTCTGGTTTTGATATGGCTTGAGGTGTGTCCTATTACATAAAGTTATGTAACCAATGTCTTTTTAGGACATGGGGTGTAATGAGTGCTGCATTCTGAGTATGTACTTGTTTAAAAGGGGCAGATTTAGTTTGGGGTTAGACAGGGTACAAACATTACCTGTGATACAAGCACGGCCTCTATCGACAGCACCAAAGAGGCAGCTGCGTGTTTTTCAACCATTACTCATTAAAGTCCTGCCTCTCATGTTTTCAGACAACCAATTACTGTATTGGCCAGACAAAGTTATGTAAGAAGAGTCAATATTGGGTAAAAACACCTTTTTGACTTCAGTCACACCAAGGCCAGTGCTGTTTATGGCTTTGTAATCAAAGGCCTCTTTCTTCATCTCGCACAGGTTTTGCATGGTTGTGTGATGATGACTTACGTACTTGAAATTACCTACACATTTTAAATTATACAATAATTTTATCACAACTATTTTACCAAAGCACACATCATATTCCTACTTGGGATAGTAAAGTTCAAGAAGACAAACACACATTCATTCTTAATAGTAAATGCAAACACTCAGGGCTACAGAGCAACATTTAGATCATTTCCAGTTGAGCAAAGCATGGGCATATTGGAGGCATTCATAAGCAGAGTCTTAAAGCCTTGCTGCTACAGCCTAAGCTTACATAATTTTCTACATAAACCTAACAAGCATAAATACATTTGAAATACAAAGTGAACAAGAGACTTACCTGTCCAAAAGTGGAATCTAATGAAAATATAGAGATTAATGTGACAACAAAAGCTGGTGACACAAACATGTTTCTTCAAAAATCTGAGCTATATAGAGCAATAGCTTAAAGTGGGTGAGATCAGAGCGGGCAGCCTGGTGTGGTTCCGTGTGGTGGAGTCCAGGTGAAAGCAGGACCTCTGACCACTGTGGAAAATGTGTATCTGTGAACTGCTGCGGAATGTGGGTTTACTCCTCGTCAACCAATCAGAGAAAAGAGATTGCAAGAAAAATATCACCACAATATTTTTTTTCACTCATGCGATTTTACATACCTCTGAAGTCAGTGCAGAAAAGGTTTTATATCTGATTAGAATATTATATGATAAAACAGCAATTTAAAAATCAAATACTTAAATATGTTTAGTAATAGCATTTATTATTGACAATGTGACCTTTATCATAAAAAGAAAGGTTGCATTCTGCTTATTGTGTAAATGTTTATATATATATATATGAGGAAAGAATAATAAGACCATGACACAAACCATTGGGGAAACTATTACAAAATATCAAACATACAGTAGGCTATTGTACTTGCTCAAAGGTGTGCAGTGTGTATGTATATATTTTTGGTGAGGTATCCACTCTCACTTAACTCTATGGAGGTGTTGCTTTGCCTGAAATGTTCAGTCTTTAAAGTCATCTATCTTACAATTATTTAATAAGAAAATGTACTGAAAATATGTGTGGAAACTGTCGGTGGGATTACCTTTTCCACAAACTTGATATGTCATTGGCCTGGTGGTATCACCTGCTTGCCTCTGGAGATAAAAATACACAAATAACAGTGTAGATCTGGAGGCTCTGTATTTAGATAATCCACCCCAACAATTAGGAAAAAAAAAAAAAAAAAAAAACACTGGTAAAACTAAACAAAGATCTTGCAACGTCACTTCTGACAGATGTGAAGGATTACAAGGTTAACAATGGACTCCCTGCTCAATCATGCGGCATTGCTCACTGGTCATCACTGCTGGGAAGTGAAGAGAGATATGAGCAAGCATTTTCTGTGTTTTGTGGCTGCATTGTGTTTTTCTTTCATTAAAATATTTTGGACTCTACACAATAGGATAACCCAAAAGTATATGTTTGTAAGTTCAGAGCTTTTTATTTTACATATTCTGTATTTGTTTTGTTAAAGTCATAGAAATAGTGAGATGTACAGTATGCTAGAAGTACATTGTGTTAGTCAGTGCTGTGAGGATCTTCCACTTGTTGCACATGGCTGCATCCTATTGCCTTTACACAAAGAAGGAGGAGGAGTTGGAGCAGATTTTAGGGCGCTCTTTGGGACAGTGTTTGTTGATTTCTCATTTGCCTCTGGACTTAACTATGGGCCTGGTCTCACTGTCACGATGTGTGGATGTATGCATTGCTTTGAGTCTACTGCCAGTGATTATCTGCTCCAGAGTCATTTTGTCTGCAAGTCTCAAAGAGTCCACAGATACTGGTAATGTACACAAGGGAAGGGCACAAAGGACACACATGTATTGTACTTTCAGGCCTATATACATTTAGGACATATATTAACTGTTGTTATTTACATTAAAATGTCTAATATATTTTTTCTTGAGTTGTTTTAGATGATAGAAGCAATACACAAACTATTTCACACTAATTTAAAAAATAAAGTTCTAAATATGTGTTTTGTTTTGTTTTTTTTAATTCTTCCAGGGCTTAGACAGAAGCATCACTCTGTTGTTGCTCTGCATAACAAACTGCGCAGCCAGGTCAACCCCATGGCAGCCAACATGCAGAAAATGGTGAGTGTTATCTTTGAAAACCTTTTTGTCTGCTTCCTTTGGTGACTGCAGGTGGTGTCCTTTTCTCTTTTGTGTTTAGTCTGCTGCCACTGTCAAGGTTAATCTATACTTACTGTAGCCTCAGATAACAGGGGCCACATGAGGCAATCCAGAGCAGAAAGACTTAGGAGCTGAAAGAGCTGGAGGCATGCAAGGTGCAATAGGCTACTGGCATACTGTTACGGAGACTACATCACAGAAAATTAAGTAAATATAACCAACAAAAATAATGTCTAGGCATGTTGTCTGTGTCCCTCCAACTGACAAGTTTCAATAGAATCTAGCTCAGTACACATAATATGAATTAAAGCCTTTATGTTTTTTTTTTAAAAATCTATGTTATAATGTTGTGTCCTCATAAAAAACATACCCAATACCCAGGGGTTTATTTTGTTTCTTTCACCTGTTTAACATTCAAACCCAGTATATTTGGGCTGAGTTCCTCTCTCAGTCAGATGATATATATATATTATATATATATATATATATATATATATATATATATATATATTATAGCTTTGACACTCTGCTTATTGGAGATTTTGTATTCATCTCCACTCCGTTAAAACTCTCATCTATTTCCTCATCATATCTGTGCGCCAGTCCCATCTGCTTGTGCTTAGGGCTTAAACATATTGTCAGATTATGAATCGCACAATGCCCCTCTGGTCCGAGTTTGAGGTTTGCGTCTGGGCGAACCGTCACTTTGTCATAGATTACATCCTCAAAGCAGACGCACAGACTCCAGCCTTTCTCTTTAGCCTTGGGGAACTGTTGGGAGCAGATAAGACGGTAATGAGAAAAAAAGAGGACGTGTATAATCGTTCTGCTCTCCAAACTCTAGTATTACAGGTAATTTCCCCATGAAAACCCTCGGAGGAGCTCTGTCAGACTGAAGAGGCTTATTAAACACAGCTCTGATAAACGTTAACCTCTTAGTGTGACGTATTTGTGTCTAATCTTATTTTTCTACAGACAGAGCATTGTGAAGAAATTGCACTGAACTTATTAGAAAGTCTTCCAGGGTTATTTTTTCAGATAAAGAATAATATTTAAGGAATAAATTTTATTTTTGCTCTTTCCTTACCAATGGTGGTTTCACTGTGCTCCTGAGGCTTCTTAGTAAGGTCACACCATTGCTTTGAAAGACAGAGATTAAAGCTAGTATTTACTTTTCATGTGTAAATCACACACCTTTGGAGATGTGACCTTATTAGAACCTATAATACCTTGAATATTATGAGACATAGGAGAATGCTTACAACATTTTATAACATTTCGTTAATAACATATCATACTTGTTTAAAAGACTTTTGGATAAGCAGTATACCAAAACATTTATAACACAATTTTCTTTTAGAGCCTAGATTGCATTTTCAATAAATCACATAATGGCATATTGAAACAAGGATGAGATTCCATTTTTATCATCATAATGCCTTGCACTAGCTAGACTAAATAAGTAGAGTGATCTTTTGAAATATCAGATGTACATTGTGGTTTGCATTGTATATCGTAATGGCACCTAGTAAGTGTAGGTTAATCTGTCTGAATAATTTGTTTTATAATAACTTTCTTTTATCACTTAATAATGTTGTTTTATTATTTCTATTATTGTTTGCAGGAATGGAGTTTGGAGCTGGCTGAAGGGGCTGAGGAGTGGGCTGCTCAGTGTAACCGTGGAGCCCCTCCTCTGCATCTTCTCTCTTTACAGCACATAGGTTGGAACATTCATGTGTCGATGTATGGTCTGGCCTCTTTTACCAACGCTATTGACGCCTGGTTTAACGAGGGGCAACATTTTCATATTCAACTGGACAATGTCAAGAGAATAGAACCTGCCAATATTATACACAGGTACCATAACTGGTTGTCAGCAATAAACTATTTGACCTTTCCATGTACAGTAATATTACATAAATGCTAATCATAAATGTTAATGTGTCCTGCAGCTTGTGTGGGCAACCTCCAGTCGTGTAGGCTGTGCAAGTCAGCTGTGTTTGAAGAATAATTTTGAGTGGAACATGTTTGTCTGTGCATACTACCCAGGGTAAAATCTGTACATACACACTGTTTGACGCTCGCGCTTCTCATTACAAAACTTCAGTTTGGATATACATGTGTTAAAGGGGGAACTGGGAGGTGAATGGTCAGCTGGTGAGGCCCTATAGGACAGGACAGTATTGTTCCCTCTGTACCTCCACCATGTCTGGTTGCTTTAAACTGTGGGATCACATTGGTGGATTATGTGGTAAGTTATCAGTCAAGAACTGCCCACATTTGAACTATTCATAGGTTTTAGCTTCCTGTTATATTCAGTATTTTTAGCATTTAAAAGATACAGTTTTAAGTTGTTAATCCCTATGACGTTTTTCTGAAACCTATTAGAAATATTAATGTCAAACTTAATATACTATGGGCAATTTTTTTAAATTAATTTTTTGTTGGTTGAGAGGCCCCTTCCCTGCAAGATTAAATTAATATGCCATTGTCGAACACTGGTGATCTAAACTTCTTGTTTTTTGTTGTAGAGGTTCCCAGAAATCCATGCCATATGAACTGTGGTAAGCATGGTCATCTGAATGTTTCTTTGTGCAAGTGCCACTGTGATGCAGGTTTTACTGGGCGTTTCTGTCAAGGTAAGAAATTCCTATTCACCATGCACTGATGCACTGGTTGGAGTATACATCCAGTATGGTATTATGGTGTTAATATTTGGGTCCAGTCAAGCAGTAACTGAGGGAAACAGGGGCAGATTTTTTACATTCAAATAGCTCTTATTCAGAAACTAGAGGGACTATTGAAATAAGTAAGGTATCAGAATGTAGGAAAGAGTTAGTACTCCAATGGGGTAAAGTTAACCCTGCGATATTCTTTCAAGTTGTTGGCAAAAAATTAAAAAACTCATGTCGGTAATGGAGGGAATGAAATATGCAGCACTTTTTGGGCAATAAATACAAACAGTGATAACTACCGGTTCTCACTTACATATCCTTAACAAACTGGTTTGAATATTTGCTTTATATAGTTTTCTACCATATGGTACAAGATTAGGTTGAAAAACCTCTTACTTTTTGAGTAATGAGATTTTTTATTAAGAAAGGTCATGGTAACGGAGGGAAAAGTAACGGAGGGAAAATTGTGCAAGCAAGTAGAAGGTGCATGATTTTGCATAATTTGTCAGCTTTTTTCTTCCGAATACTTTGATATTACTTCAAAATGAAAGGTAACTATTTCTATAAAATATGTCAGTCCTTCCAAGCAAATTTTTATCATTTTAAATTTTTTTTTCTTTGAAAAATCATGTACCTTCATCAACAGTTCAAATCGAATAACACAAGATATGATGAAATACATCCATTTATTTACATGATTTGCAGGTCTGTGAAATTTGGGAAATAATTGTTGTTCCATGTTGCATACATGGTATGTTTAAAACGTATGTAACTTTAGAACCAAAAATGGTACAGAAAAAAGTAAACAGTTTCATAAACTAGAGTACATATGCTATCTGTTGAATAAATTTTTATATCAGATGCATTAACTTGAATTTTTGGCCTTGCCGTATACTTCTGCTTGACCGGGCCCATTTCCTACAGTGAGGTGCAGTGCACCGTGTGTACATGGTCATTTTAAAGAGGAGGAGTGTTTCTGTCAGTGTGATATCGGCTATGGTGGAGCTGGATGTTCTGGTCAGTAGGAACTTTTAAGATATTTCTTATTTTCATTTAAACTGTTAGCTCTGTAACAGTGTGTTCTTGTCTCAACAGAAAAAGTACAATTTCCTCTCAGTATGTGCCACATGTTGATTGATGAGGAGTGTTTCACTATTTCTTCAGAAGCTACCACCTACTACAGATCTAAGATCCGCTGTCAGGTGAGAGACAGGTGTGTGAGATTTTCTCTTTACTGCAATGTGATGTTTTTTTCCTTCATATGTGATGCTGTCAGTTTAACCGTTGTCTGAATTGGCAGGAAAGAGGTGGTACTCTTGCTCATGTTTACAATCAGAAGGTTCAAGATATCTTGGCTTTTTATCTCTCAGAGGAAGTAAAAGTGACCACGGGCTCTGATGCACAAAACTTCTGGATTGGTACAGCTTTTCGTGTCGTTAAAACAATTCAATAATCATTGATCATCATAATCAGTAATAATATTAATTATATATATATATTTTGTATTGTAGGTCTGACCTTCAGGCCCCCAAAAGACTCATTTCGCTGGGACAGAGGGGAAATGCTCACTTTTAGCAGTTTTGCTTTTGGACAACCTAATAACCAAGGGTAAACAACATCCATACCATTATTTTAGTAAATACAGGAATAAATCTCCAAAGGCACTAACCCAGCTGTGATACAGTGTTGAATTTCCACCTAACACATTGTAAAAAAGCAAAAAAAATATTCAAATTGTATATCGATATTGGTATATCGACAGATTTTATCTATGAGAAGAAACTTTTAACATACACTATAACAAACCACAGTAAAATCTTTACTTCACAAATATTATGTGAATAGCTTTATAAAGTCTATTCTTCATCAATAAAAAAGTAGGTATTGTGACATAAAAAGCAGATACATTTCGGTTATTATTTTTACACATTTGTAAGAAATTACCTATTTTTCCCTCTGAAATTATCATAATTATTCATTTTTAGTTCTTACAGTTATTTTGTAATCTGAGTGATCACAAGCAAGTACTTGACATCCCTGAGTCTGTGCTACATTGCCCTCTACTGGTTATGTATATACAGTATTTTCACATTAATTAAATGTCACCTCCCTGTTTTTCAGGTTTGGGAACTGTGTGGAGCTGCAGGCGTCAAGTGGCTTTAACTGGAACGACCAGAGATGTAAAACCCACAACAGATACATTTGCCATTATGGTAAGACTCAAAACTAAATGTGTTGCAATAAATGCTTTTGGTGACTTGCTAATAATAAAAAATTATGTTGTTATACTGACACTTATTTGTACCTAATCAAAGAAGGTCAGCTACAAGCAAGAGTTTTCAAATATTAATTAACAGTTCTAAAGTAGTATTTACATTGAATAAGCTGTCATTTTGTATGTACATGCTTTCAAAATTGGGTCTAAACCTGAACCTAACCATAGTCAAGAAGTAACTAACCCTGATCTAGTAGTAACTATCCTTGATCAAGTAGTATAGATAATATTCATCACAGTAATTGCATTCACTAGAAATCATTTGAAATGCATGGTGAAAAGTCACTTCACTGTTCATTATTGATGTTTACACAGACTAAAACGTGTGGTCTTAAATGCAGCACTTTGTCCGTCAATGCACTCCTCATCAGCCTGACTGTGATCAATACTGTACCAGCTCCACAAAAGACCAGTGTTTGGACACACACTCCACTCTCATCGACTAAAGGAGTGTGAGGAGAGGGCTGTTTAGCCTGTACTACTGTCACACACTGAGCAATCTGCTATTGATCACTCAGAGCTATAGGAGATATGTTTTGGACTGGGTAATGTTGGGAAAACATGCTTTCTGAAAAAAAAAAAAAAAATTATTTCAGCACTCCAAGGGGCTTGAACTGTTTTCAAAATAAAATTAAAATAAATAAATAAATTGGCTTCATGTATTTGTGACAGGACCAGCTAAGACAATTTAAACCCTGAATTATCACTCATCAATAATCTCTTTGGCATAGTTGAATATTGTTGTGTTGTTTGCCCATTATGTGAAAATTATGTTTTTCTCCACAGCTCTGGAGCACATTGCTCAGTGGGAAAAGTAGCAGTAACACAAGAGATAGCTCTTGATTTAAGCCAAACGTGATGTTGAACTGCAAGTACTTAGATATTCCTGGATTGTACAAGGATATACTACTGCAAACACTGTCTAAGATGCGCAAAATAATGTTGATGTTATTAATTAGATAATAATTAAATTATGTGTCTTTCTTGTCTAATTTCTATTTTCTATGTTCTATTTCTGTTTCTATGTTTATTGATAGTGACACTTTTCATTTAGTTTGTCACAGTGACTTTAAAACAATACTACATTCAGTACCTTGGACAGCGACACAGCTTGTTTTGATAAAACAAGAGTAACATAACAAACATAATAATTGAACCTATTATCTTTGTCTGCTTTGGCATAATGTAACTAACTATATGTTTCAATTGTTTATTTGACTGATTTATTTTCTAAGACTCAACAATGTGGTTTTATATGGTTGTGAGTAACAGAAACTCTGTAAATATCGGAATAGGTTTTGGCTTTGAGTGAGAGGCTCTGTCCTCTAAACTTTTTTCTGCTGATTTGCGCCTCTTTTAAACGCATTTGTGTTGCTCAGTTCTGCATTAGTGCGTCTCCTCGTCTTAGCCTTAGCTGCGCCTGTGTAGCTCCCTGCTGGTCTCATGGTGCCCCCTGATAAGCCGCTGCTGCTGTGGGGTTCAGAATGGTGCTGGTGGCAGTGGAATTAGCTTCTATTGTGATGATAATGACAGTGATACTCTTGCCCCCGTCCAACTCCGACCAGCCATTGTATGGAAACAGGAATGCAATTTCTCCTCCAGCGGCAAGCCACAATCCTCAGTACGAGTGAAAGGTCCCTAAATGACTCTCTATTCAGGCAGGGCCAAGGGGCCAGCAGCCAATTAAAGTGGGAGCAGCAGAACACTGCCATCCAAGAGACCTGAGGCTGTCTCTAAACACACACATTAAGCAACACTGACAAGGGATGTGTTAACCTGGCAAATATAGTCCATTTTCTAGCAGTTAAACTTAATGTAGCATATAAAGTGCCGTATGAAATACTTTGCCTATTGTCATATGTACTGCAATTAAATTAGGACAGCATTTGAACAGTATCTGTGTTGGGTCTAGGATGAGAGCAATAATTCCATTGAACCAATTTTCTGCGATCAGATACCTGACGCATTATTAGCTTTGGAAATCTAATTGCATTGTAATTAAATATAATACTTACCATTGGTATTAGTGTTACTTTTCCCCTATGTGCTTTCAATGAGATGGACTAGATTACATGTATTAGTAATAAAAAAAGGTTTAGAATAGCCTACTGAGCACAGAGCTAAACAAAGAGAAGATTTCAGGTGGGGGGTCCTCCTGCTCGTCCCAATAGAGATGTTATTGCTTTAACTAGAATGTTCCACAGTTGTTATCAATTTTTTTTAACTGCACTTGGCTTGGTGTTGTCACTTACATACACTTAAAGCCATACTATGGAACATTTTTGGCAAAGCAATAACATCTAAAGACAAGCAATTGGCAGACCTTTCATTAAAAAAAGTTACATAGTGCACCTTTAAGAAAACTATTTTGCGCCACTTCTCTTTCTATTCTCACAGTTTAGTCCAACATGCTGCTCATTCACACGCCTGTAACAAGGTGTGCAGATGGGAGCACTCATTAACCGCAGCATTTGTCTCTTATTGTAAATCTGCGTGTGTTTAAGCATCTTGTGAAGTCTGCAATCAGTCCCCAATTATGGCTCTTTACATCTCAATGAGAAAATGCAGCTGTTCTGGGCTCTAATGATACAGGAGGTGGGGAGAGTTTGTGGAGATGATCGCTACAGACTGAATTACAGGGTAATTTCTAATCATCCAAACACTTCACTGGAACACTTTGCAAGAGTGCACCCTCCACCTGCTTGTGTCCTCCTTTTGAGTGTTAGTGTGGTGGCCCTGGAATTTCCTTGTCCTATAATGATTAAAGACTGTTGGCTCTTATGCAGATTAACTTCCTTTTAGTAGATGCTATTAGAAGTCAAATCCAGCTTTTGTCCTAAAAAGAAAAGAAGGGTAGCTTTAAAAAAAAAAAAACCAAAACAAACAAAACAAAAATAAATAACGAAATTGCAAATAATCTTTTGGTTTTAAGTTCTTTCAACTGGCATCACGTATTTGAAGTGGAATAATAAAGGCACCATTATCTGAGACCATTTTGAAAACAACAGGTTTTGTTTCATGTGAATATGTAATTACAGACATACCAACCATAAACCAATTCAACAAATCTGTAATCTAACAATTAAACAGCAAATTCCACAATAGAGTTCTGACCTGTCCTCCATTTTAAACTACAGGGATTCTTGAATGTTGTAATGCCACATGAATCCAAACAATTCTCAACAATGTAGTGTCTCTCCATCTTCCCCTTCAGTGGATTCAAAAAGACAATATAGACTGATAGTAAATAATTTTCTATCTAAAGTTAATTGATTTTTACAGAACATATTCAGTCTTGCGACAGCGCTGCACCATTTGTCCCCACCCCTCAATAAACATTAAACTCTTATTTGCCTTATCTAATATATGATTTGTCTTTCTCTGTGGCGCTTCCATTGTGTGGCTGGTTATTGCACGCTTTGTCTTTTTCATTTTCCCCTTTCACTGCCGTCACTATTGAACAGTGTGTAGCCACAACATTTGGATGCAAGATGAACTTTGATAAGAGTTAATGAGAAAACAGCATTGTGCGGGCAAAGAATGGCTGGAGCCGCACTCAAGAGCCTCCTCACGCTGAAATGGACCATGAAAAGATGCTGTAGTAATGCTGCGAACCATGGACTAGATGAAGGGAAAATCTATGTATGAAGCTATTATTTGACTGGGATATGTAAAGATTTTGGCATATTTTTAAATGCAGTAACTGTGCCAGGGGTCATATATACATTTTTACAATCTTTTTATGTGTCCTCAAGTAGTTGAATTAGCTTTAGAAAACCATGTTTCTTTATATATTGGATGCTCCTCCTGGCTTAATATTCAGGAAAGAAGTCAAATTGATCATCTTATGGTTTGTTTTGTGGGGCCAGAGTTGTTGGCACTTCTGTCTCTATCAAGCAGTATACCCTCTCGTCCAAAAACAACCATGATTGTTAGAAAATAGCTATTTCTATTATCAGAATATAGTTGTAATAGAACTTAAATTAACCTTTTAAATCTAAATAATTACAATTCACTTTATTCACTCTGCTCAGTCACACTTGTTGAAGCTGACATCTACAGCCACAGTACATAAAGTCTCACTACCATATACAGAAAAGTGGGTAAAGAAAACAAAAAACAAATGTTTAACCATTTCACTTCTACTCATTATATGAAATGATATAGACAAAATCACTGTGACAAACAAATCACAAAAAAATTAAGCTAGTTTGAATTGATAAGTTGTTTGGCATTTCTGGAGGAACAGAGAGGACAAAGTCATATGAGAAACCCCGACCATCTGTAGTGGAGCACTGGAGCACAACATGAATGAATGTGAGAGTGGAGAGTGTGCTTCTCAGTGATGTCAGATCTTAATTGAAAATGACAGCTTCAATTAAAAATGTAATCATTCTGTCCGTTTTCTAATTAAAAGCGCGACCACTGATAGTTTTGAGTCATTAACTTCAAAGAGCTGTGGCCTTGCAGGAGGGTAGTGGATCATTTTCAGAGTCTAAGGATAGGCATAATCAGCTAACTCCTCAGACAGACATAGCCCCATTACATGAGAATAACCAGGACTGTGCTCAGTATAGACTTGCACAAAGCATATCTCCCACTGTTATAATGGACCGGCTATGGGAAGGACACACTGCCTTTGTCATTAGGTTTTTTAACCCATGACATTGGTACAAACCTTATTTTACAAACAAGTTTACTAAAGTCATAACCGTCTGTGGTCAGGGCTGTATCTGGGTCACTTTCATCCAACTGAAACTCCCGGCACACTAAGAAAGGTGCGCTATGTAACTTTTCTGTCTAACATGTGGCAACTGTTGTCTCCATGGAGATGTTAAATCTTTGTCTAGAATGGTCCACAGTATGGCACTGAGCTTATCTAAAATATCTATTATTGCTAAAATACGTTTAAGAACACACATCCTTACTGTGAGTGGGGTCATCTCTTCACCGATCACACCTAAAACTTGCTTTGGGGACATCTCCTGCTTGTCTCCATGAAGACAGTATGTTTAATGCCTTACTGTGGAATATTTCAGGCTAAGCACTAACATCTCCATGTAGACAAGATACTATTGTAGTCACAGCTGCCCTGGGGAAGACTTACAGAAATGAGCTTGCCCATCTGTGCCCTCAGCCCCTCCAACCACCACCCACACTCCGTTCATACTAGTTAATGTATGTGAAGTGTCTTGCCTAAGGATGCAATAACAGTTTATTTTTGCCAATAGATTACATTAATTTACTATAGTTTGATTTTCTAACTCATGCATCATTTGGTCAGTCAGTATGAACTGCTCAGAAAGTGAAGTGTACCTTTAAATGCACATGCTCATTTAGTGGATGATTGTCTGGAAAGTATTCTTAAAATATCTTTGTATGTTTTGCCAGCTATTTCCACATATATGTGATTAATCAGCTGTTTATTTAGGATACCATTTCTTTTTATAGTACAGAGCCATCTGCACCTCGTGTACTGTCCTCAAAAGGCTTATAGGAGCATCTGTTTCCACTATATATCTCCATCCAACACAGGAGGATATGTCTGCACACAAATGGCATTCAGCAATCCACATTTCTATCATCCAGGAAGCTTAGTCGTGCTTCAGCTGGATATATTTATTTAAAATGTGAATTCTCTGTGTTGGCCTCAGGGTATGTCATTACAGGGGCTTAAAGATTTTTTTTTCTGTCTTAAAAATGTGAAAAACAGAACAAGCTCATTTTAAATGGCTTGCAGTGGTCACAAAGTCATAAAATCATTTGAAAGCCAGATTTAAATTATGCATTATTAAAAACAGAGGTATTTAAGCAGGATGGGAGGCTATGACAGAAAAGGTGCAGCACTATTTTGAATTTAAGGTAAAGCACTGAATGAAGGACCTAAGGGAGCAAGGAGCAGAGTATAGTGTTAACAAAGTGTGTTGAGGTGCATGCCATTGAGTGTTTTTAAAATATCAATCCTAAATTTGACTGGCAGACACTGGTGATGGGTTAAAACTGGATATGGATAACATATTTCAGCATTGTAATTTGTGTTTCAACTGTGTGGGTTTTGCGCTTTGTCCCTGCTGCAGAAGTGAGTGGTTGGTTAAGTTTGTTCCCCGCAGCTGTCTGCCTCAGTGAGGAGGGCTCTCCCTGACATTCAGAGATAGGGCTCAGAGGATGATGAATGGTGCTGTTTGAGAATGCTCCTCACTTCAGCTGCTCCTGCTTGGGTCTGTCGCTTTGCATGCGCTCTCTGCTTGAGACACAAGTGACAGGTCGCTAATGCAAAGTTAACTGCACTGTCTCACCATAATTGAATCCCCTTCCTCTAATTACTCATCACAGACTGGTCAGTGCAAGTCTGGACCTACCTCTGACAGAATGGTTTTGTTCCAACTTGTGCCAGTGTCTGAGAGGCACATCACAAGTTTGGAAGCAGTGTAAACCTCCCAGTCCCACAGTGGCTCCATGGGACAGGATGCCTCACCCAGACTGGGACAGAGGGCAGTGTTATCTCACTTTGAAACCAGCAGCACCAAAAGAGAACTACAAAGACACACTTTAAACCTCTTCTGGATGACTAAACCTTTTTATGCCACAACCAATTTCCAGTTGAAAGTAAATTTATCTGAAGAGCAAATGTTCTCTGTCTGTGTTAGGCCTATCAAATGAAAGCAAAATGAGAGGTGATTAGAGGATGGTCTATGAATAAACAAGTAAAGCTATCAGTGTTAGAGAAGATTATCAAATGGTAAATCATTACATTTATAGAGCACTTCTCTATCTTTCTATCTTCAAATACAAAGCACTCAAAGCACTTTACACCATGAAACCATTTACCCATTCACGCACAGTCATACACCAATATACACAGCCAATGAGGGCAAAGTAGGTTAAATGTCTCAACAACACTATTCATCCATAAAATCTGGAATCTCACCGCCAACCTGTGGCCAGAGGAGGTGGATTTAAACTGCCTTCGGATCAGAGGATAAGAACTAAACCAACTCAGCTACAGCCAACTTCTGTTCTGCTATAGATCTTGCCTGACCAGCCTGTCCCTTCTACATTCTGTTTGTTTGATTATTGATTCTGTAAAAATTCAGTGTTTTTCAGTCCTTTATGTAGATTTTTCTTTTTTTTATTTGTAAGCAGCCATGGTTCCTTTTTATTTGAATGGAGCATGGGTCTCTCTGTTTAGTTAACCTCCCTGTCAATCTCACCATCTGAAAGATCCACTGGTCTTTGTAAAGTTTTGTCAAAGCGTATGTTTTCTGGCTGGCCAGGTATATCCCCACTATGTGATTACAAATGTACAAATGAGTCATTTAAATTCTAGTTTTCATATCAATAGGTATAGATTTTTTGACAACACTATTACTGATTTTTAAGAATTAAAAACACATACAGAAGACCTGATCGGGATGGGCGCCAGTGTCTTCTCGTGTTTGCAGGTCTATCAGGACATAATGAGGTTTTCATGCCCAGAGACTTGAGCTGGAGAGTGTGGAATGGAGCACATTGTGAGGAGGACCGTGACACTGAGAGAAAAGGAAAAGCAGGGGGGAAAAGGCATTCAATGATAATATATGAGCTGTCTGCTGTGCTTTACCGGAGAGCAAAAGAGTGCAGCGGTGCATTTAAAAAGGAGATTATCATGTCAAGATACAGTGCTACTTCAGTGAACACAGTCTGCGATTGGACACCAGGGCAAGGCTCGTGCTGACTGAGGAGAAGAAAGGCTAATCAGGGAATTCAAGGATTTGTGTGGGCAAAAAGAAAACACTGAACAAAGCTATGTTTTTACTTTTAAATGTTAATAAAATATCATCAGAGGTGAACTGTTCAGGGGTCGAGAGTACAGTTTTAAGAACTAGAGCGTCCTCCCATTAAATAGATGTTTTCTGTGTATATTGCCTGTGCACCATTCAGTCTTTCATTGGCATAAGGTTACTCTTGATGTGCAATGTAGCAGCTCTACATAGTTCTGCAAAGGTTTTAAAGAGGAATTATGATTTTTTTTTTTGTTGGGTATAAAGTTTGCTTAAATGGTTGCTGATCTAGGGTTCAGCATAGACAACACTGAGGAATTATTGAAACTGTTATAATATAATATATATTGAGGTACAAAAATATAACTTGAGCTAAAAATGTTAGATTTTTAGCATATGTTCTGGGAATGCTGAATTTAAAGAGCTATATAATTTGAATTATAACATTATTAGTCATGGTTTGGCACACTGTTGCAAGAATGCACTAGTGCCATAACGGCACACAAATTTGTAACTTATGATTTTTGTTTTGTCTCACACATTATATGTTAGCCTTGTCTTTTGCTCAACATGGAGAAGATATATCATATGGTCTATCCATTCTAACACGATTTCATTAGAGGTACACTTTCAAAGATGTTGCATATAAAGTATGTAAAATATTCTTGTGCTATAATTTGAAGGTGTCAGCAGCAGTTCATGGTTGATATCTCATTTTCTGCGTTTCTCCTCAGTGGATTTACATTTCAATCTTTAGGAGAACTCAGCTGTGACTTGGCTTTAAATTACTCTTTTTGGAAACGCCCGCTGGAGCTGGCTACTGAGTGTTGTGTGAAGAAAGACATTGGATCTACTCACAGTGTACAGCTGAAAGTTTCATTCTCAAACATGTTAGTCTTATACCTTCCTTATGACTGTTACATTTAAATTTATCCTCGCTCACATTTCAGTTCTACATTTGACTGTTGTCAATTTGTCACTTGGCTAAGCTTGAATATTATATGTTAGCTAAAAGCAAGAACCAGCAATAACATGGTAGAGATGCCTTCACTGAAGCAGGTATACTGCTGATACCGATTATCCACTATAATGTTGCCTGCTCATAGAAATTGGTTTGCTTGTCCCTTAACTTAGCATGGTAATTTGAACACATTATTAGACATTATTATTATAGGTCAAAGAAGAAATTATTTTATTTTAGTCTTAAATCCCTTAACTAGACTTCTAGTCTTATACCCCTCACCCCTCACAATATGGAAAAAGGTACAATTGTGCCTCACAGCCAGTAGTTTAATTATAAATCCTTGTTTTCTCACAGGTCCATGGGGCACTAGAAAAGCTCTGCACAGCACTTTAAAAACATCTCTATATTGAATATTGCTTGTAGAGTACCTTACTCAGAGCTTTGCCCCTTATAGCCTGCTTGGCTCCGGGCTCCTTCACTACTCGCTACATTAAATGTAAACCTATATTCAAAGGAGTTGGAGGTTTTGTAATGTAGATTCACCAGGGTTAAGTGTACTGTGAAAAGAGCTAATAATCATTTTGGACCCGAAGAGAGTAAAGTCTGGCTCAGGGCCAGGATCAGCCTGTATTTGGTTTTAAAGAAGCTAATTAAACCCACATGAAAGAGCCCTGGACCAACAATTAAAACTGGGACAATGATTACACAAGCTCTGTAATTACAGGCTGTCTGTTGGAGTATCAGTTTTATTCAAGAGAAATCAAAATGAAATGTAAATTGAAGCAGGAAAAACACTGAATGCAGCAGTGTGATATTAGGTACAGGAAAAGGCAAACATGTCTAACACAGCACCAAACTGTGACGGTATATGACCGCACCATCTCTAAAGTCCCACAGTGTGGCATGATCCTGTCTTGTTATATGGTCTATGAGTGGAAATGACAACAGTGGTTGCTTTGCAGACCTCCTTCTGTATTTCTAAATAAATTATATTTTTCGAACATGAATTCAATGAATTTAATAAAAAGTAAAAAAGAAAAGAAAAGATAGACTGAAAACAGAAAAGCCTGTTGCTGAGGGTGAACTAGCTCCTTTAATCATCTCTCACTTTTTTGAAAATAGTCTTTCCCATGGCCACCCCCACCTAATGTGAACATTTGGTTTAGTCCCCTGGAGCTTCTGTGGCTGGTCTGTCAGAGAGTGTGTAGTAGCACAGCTGAATGTCTGCCTCAGCACTGGCACAGAGGAGTGAAGAAGACACACAGACAATACAGAGAGAAAGAGGAGAGGGTCGCCTGCAGCTTCAGTCTCTACCATCACTCCAGAGATCATTTTGTGTCATCAACATGACCTTGTTCAGCCCCAGATGTGAGTATGCAGGTTATATTTTTTGTGCATGTAGTGGAGGTGTGCACGGATGTGGCTGTCTCACACCTCATCAGACAGACTCCTCTCATCAGTCTCTTATGAGCAGTCCACCATATGTCTTTTACACCTGTGTTTCCTCTTTTACACCTGTGTTTCTGATATGAATGTGTTGGATGCATGTGCAGAGATTTGTCATGTTCATTTAGTATCAGGTGCTATGCATCAAGTACAGGTCTGACCACCTATCTCACAAAGTTTTTCTATGTATGAAACAACAATACTCACACTTTTATATCTATGTACACACTATAGACTTTTACTACACAGAGAAGTTATAGGTCTAATTACAAAATCTGCATGTTGGTAAACTCATCCCATGTTTTTTTGTTTTGTTCTGTATAAATCCATCAACCCATCATATCATCACTGACATCTATTTGATCATTGTATAAAATGTGTTTTGGGATTGGTTTTTAAGTTTCCCAGCAGTAATCAAGAGATGAGCAAATGCAATATTAACCACACATTTAAATAAACACTCAACATTATCTCTAATAAGTCACACCAATCTAGCACAGGAACTGAAATAGACTAATTATGTTCAATTATGAAATCTCAGTAAAGTTTGGTATATTACATTTGAAGATGGTGAGTAGCCTATATGAAATATTACTGTGTCTGTCAACAGTAACTACAGTGGGTCACTATGTAAGCCTAGAGGACAGAGTAAGGTATCATGTAAAGCATTTTTTTAAATTTCTCTTTTATTCTCTAGGGTAAAGAAAGAAAGCAGATTTAAATAGCAACCACACTGGGCTATATATAACCTGATTTACGCATTTACCATTCTCATATCCTGTATCTCTCACCTCTCACCTCTCTCTGTGTTATTTTGTGTGGCGCTGATGCACAGTATGCCCCACAGACCTCATGTGGCATGAGACAGTCATTGGTTATGGCTGAATGTGTTTTGTGTGTTTGACCTTGGTACCTTCTCATTGAAACCTCCATAGATTGCCATTGTCAACCTGGCCTTTCTTTTTGGCTTTTCCTTCTGGGACTGCCACAGCGGATCTCCCCTGTGGCAATTCATATACTAATTGGTATAGATGTTACCCTCAGCCCTCTTCTTGATTATATTAAAGCCTATTTTACATAATTTTTCAAAATATCAAAATATGTATTTTGAATTTGAGTTACAACAGTTGAATATGTTGTGAAATAAATATGTCGGACTAAAGCCTTGAATAAAAAGCCATCTGAAAAATGCATCACCAATGTGTCTATTGCTCAATTTAATCTGTCTTAGATTTATTATTTTGCCACTGTGTCCATGAACAGCTAAAGATTTGCAGTATTTAGTATTTTAGTGTTAAAGGTTTTGATGCATTTCACAAATGATAGTATATGTAGTAACAGAACCTCCTAATAAGAAACATTTTCTATGGGGTGTTAACTGCCAGGGCATAGGGCTGCATGGGTTCACAATGCTGTAGCCTGATTACCTCCTGAGATCTTCTGATGTTTTGTTCCTGTTGCGCTCGACCACTGCGCTCAGCAGCAGTCTGCTCCTCTTCCTGTTTTATGGCTCATCATGCAGTATAATACAGGCACCACACTGAGATACTGAAGTCATACACAGTTTCAGACACATTATGCTTTTATCTTCAGATTATATTTTATCACCTTGTAGAACAGTATGTTTACTTTTAGTTATTGTTGTACAATATTAGGAATCATCATGTTGGGTTTGTGTTCATATTCTGATCTGTACAACTCACTCCCATCAAATGAATATATAAAACATAAAGTTTTCAATAGATATGATTAAGGTAATTTCAAAGATTAAGTTCCAATATCTAAGTCCTGAGTCCTGCAGCAGATTCCTGTGCGTTTACTCTGTCAGAGAGAGCTCATTGCAGCGGGAGGGAAAGGCCGGAGCACGTGTCTGTTCTTCACATTCAGAGCCATACTTAATTAATTGTAGCTTGCAGCCATTTGACAGTGGCTCTGTGTGAGTGTATGTGCAGCTGGCCCAGTCACAGCCCATTCAGCGCCCATCTGTCCGTGTCGGACCAGCCCTACCTCGTCCTCTCTGCGCTCTTTTATTGCATTTTAACACACTGTTTGTGAAGAAAGCAAGGAGACATCCTGTGCTGGCATCCACTGTAATCAAGACAACTAATCAACATTTTAAGCATTTGTTGGGTAGTGATCAGAATTATGATGACACTGGCACAAAAATTGTAGGCATCAAAATGAAAGATTTGTTGCAAAGATAATCAACATGAAAACAAAAGGATTAGCCTTGTCAACTCTAATAGTTGCTTGATGAAGCATAATGTAATAAAATCAGTGGAATATTTTCATACACAAGTTGTGTGAACGTCAGTCAAAAGTAAAATAAAATTTGACACATTACAAATTAGCATTTTTTGAGAGTCTGAGAATCAACAGTAATTGGGCCATTGAGGTTAGATAGTTCATACAACCAGTCCAGTCACTGGAGAATCTCTCTAAATAATGTAAATCTGTTTTCTGGTGTGTAACACGAGTCCTGTTTTACAGATTTCGTAGCTCACACAGTGAGTCATGCTGTGTATTGTCTTTTCTCTGCAGACATGAGTGTGAGTGGAGAGCTGAAGTCGAGCCGCTCCAGAGCTGCCAGTAAGAGGAGTAACACCAGCACTTACGGGTGAGTTAACCATCTTCACTCTCCAAAGTTCAGTTACATTTTCTCCTTTGTATTTGCAAACCAACACATCTAAGCAACAGCATCAATCAATTATCAAGAGGCTGTTTCTATCTTCATGTACATATTGCACATGTGTGCGAATTGCGATTACTTAAGCAGTAAACTTTTCTACTACCTTTCATGCTTTTGATAGTGCTTTTGTACCTCATGTGTCTTAACAGGATCTCTTAGTGAGACATCGTTACAGTATCTTCCTAACGCAAAGGCAACAGATGTTCCTCTGGGTGGGTGTATAATTTACCAGAATCCTATTTCTTAAGATGACACCATTTTGTACTTTAGAAATCCTATCAAATCTACAAGGACAGAGAAATATGCCTTCAGTGCAACACAGATGAAAATGCCCTGATACATTTTATTCAAAGGAAAACACATTCACTCTAATAGAATCAAAACGCCCTTCCAATTTACACTCAGTATGCAAATTCTGCATTTGTTGTTTTGCATCACATTGTTCTGAATAGTAATCTATGCTTTTGACAGATCAACACCTGCACCTAAATATATGTTGCTGTACAATCATGCCTGCTTGAATGTACGAAAAATCACATATGTGCATGAAGAGTAAAACTCCGTATTACACCTGCCTCTTCCGCTGTTGTTTCTATTTGTGTCTCCCTCTAACCCCCGAGCCTTATTCACTCATTCAGGTATAATAACAGCCTACAGCCATGCATTAATGAGGACAGTTCATGCCTCGGCTCCACTGTGAGCACAGGCAAACAAAGACTAAATACAAACATGGTACACCAGACCATGAAGCTGCTGCAATCTGACATTTTAGGTAAAAAAATAAACTGACTGTGGTATACTTTTAATGAATAATCCTTGCTGTGAAGCACCAATCCTTATACCTTGCCTTTACACATCTGCACCAAACACCAAATGGCCTGCAATAAATAAATAAATAAATAAGTAAATGGCTATTTAAAAATATGTGACAAGTAACAGTGTTCAGTTTCACATAATACATGAATAAAAATATGAATAAAAGTTGAAGTTAGCTAAATAAAAAAACAGTGAGCTAAACAATGAGCTAAATAAAATACTTATTCTACTATTCTACTTATAGGATTAGAATATGGACGAGACTTTAAATATGCATCCAAAATTGTAAGATAGACCTACAGACAATACAACCACTGGAGAGTCTCTCTCAATAATGTGCTGTAAACATGTAGGTCTAACTCAGACCCTTCCTTTGGGTATATGAAGTTGAGCATATAAGAGACAGTAGGGTAAGTAGGGTTTGTGTATTTCTCCCTAAATATTCCTATTTATCTACCCATGATCTCTGCTCATTCATTCATCAGATGCATAAAACAATAGTTGGATCAGACTAAACAAATAAATAATCACACTATATTATGTAGCATGTTGTATTAAGAATGAACTATTTCTGTGCTCATTTCACACTGTGCCCTACTTTGGCAGTCAGTCGAGAGTGGGGTTTGAGGACACTGGCCCCATCAGTGTGCCCAACATCTGCTCTCTTGTATCTGTCTTGTACTTCTGTCTTTTTTCCATTGGCTCATTTCATTAACACTGTCATCTCTGCTGATTATCAAAAGAGCTGGAATTTGGATGGAAGTGATGCATCTGTCATGTAGATTTTGGTCAGTGTCAGTTAACAGGTTGTGAGCCCCACATTATTGATAACCCCAATATCGAGTACATTTTCATGACCACTAAAGATCAGTTGGATTTTTAGAGGAACTGTCGCATTTGGATTACAGTATGAATTTTAAAGTAACTAATTCAATATTTATATTTTTCTCTTTCATTTATGTGTATTTATGCAAAATTCTCCTTGTCAACGCCTACACAGGTTTAAATAATCAGAAATAAATCAGATTACTACAGTCTGCATGACATTTTACTGATCAAAAATAATTAGATTTTTGGTGCACGTAAACATAGCATAATATACTATAGTGGCTGTAGTTTGAAATTGCAGTTAAAGACCTTTTGACAGCCCCTTCCTTGCCCCATTTCACTTAGTTGTTATGATACTGCAGTATTTGCTAATGTTACTCGTAAATCTGTTGGTGCACACAGGCAGCAGGCTCCCAAGAGGTGAAATCAAAAACAGGTTAGGACTGGACTGAACTTCTTTGGATCCTAGAGGAGTTTGAAGACTGCTTTAGACATCAGTCAGCTGATACAGGCTTGTGAAGATCATTTTCAGGGGATAGGGGTTTGTAGCAACATATATTAGTTTGGGTTGTAGAAAATGTTATGTTTACGATATTAGTTTAAAGAGCACTGTGAAGGTACGTGACCTACTTGTCTCCACTGGTGTTGCAGAGAATATTTTGGCATTAAACTTATCTATATGTGGAGAAGTTACAGGTCATCTATGGAAAAACAAGTACTACATTTTTGTGGCGTGTGCATTTTGCTTGTGTCTGCAAGATCACAAAATTGAGTGAAATGAAGTGTACACTCTACAAAGGGTTTTAAGGTGGGTTTTATTCTCAGTAGTAATGTTTTTTTTACACAGAAATCAATGAACCATAATGATTCATAAGTCTATAGGGACAAATACTGCAGGTAGTATTGCTTTTTATGTCTCTTCTGAATGAGCATTAGGGTGGGTTTCTATCCTTTGCATCATCTCTGCATAAGATAACAAAGAAAAAACATAGAATAGATCATGTTTTATTTTTTTCTTAAATAGGCTTGTCATGATAATTACTATATTGACTTATTGTTCAGTATATGAAAGCTGGAACAGGTCAATATTTATCATATGTGCAGTTTCTTTGTAAAAGAGGGGAGAATGAGGGAGATGTAGAAGGTTGAATAAAATCTTCTGTGGCTAATTCTGCTAACTTATTTGTTGCACCTCAGGCCCTTTGAATTATACTATCTATTTAAAAATGGTTTACTAAGATGATCTTGCATTATTGTTATTGTGTCAGTGGCATAAAGTAGTTTCAATATTATTGTTTATTGCAGTATATCTCTAGAAATATATTGCGCTTTAAGATTTGTTATTGTGACAGGCCTATTCTTATGTATAATTAATATTCTTCACAATGAGGCTACATTGCTTGTTTGTTTTTAATTGTGAGCATTGTTTGCAATGAAGCCGCATCAACCTGGGTATTCCTCTTGGCCCTGGTGGCGGTTTTGCAAAGGTCAATGGATGCACTGCTGGGGAAAGGTCAGTGTGCAGAAGAGAGGAGAAAGCAATGATTTCAGGTCTGAGTCACAAACACTGTGAAGAGGAAAATGGAACAGAGAGCAGAGGGATCATGTCCGTTCTGTTGTCAAAATCCTGTTTGGTGAAGATAAGGTCATGGGTGAACCGAGGTGACATCAATTGTTCAGGACCCATGAACAAAAAGGCCAGAACCACGCTGAGTTGGTTCTCACTTCTTTCCTGTTGCTCTATGCATTTGTATATCCACAGTGTGCTGCAGCCTTATCTTATCCCCTGGTGTATAGTCCCTGTGCTAATGAAGTCATCACGATGCCCACTGCAGCTGTGGCAGTAAAGGCAGCAGGTGAGCCGGGAGGGAAGAGACAGGATTAAAGTCTGATGTAAATAAAGTGCAGATGACAAACAAAGAAGGGACAAGTGTGAAACCACTACTAGACAAATGATGTACTAAACCACTAAAATGAACAGTTGAAGGAGAGCAAGAGAAGGAGAGAGAGAGAGAGAGAGACAGAGAGACAGAGAGAGAGAGAGAAGGAGTGTAAGAGAGAAGGAGAGAGATAGAGAGAGAGAGGTGAAGGAGGGAGAGGAGAGGAAGCAAGTGAGCACTGCGCTGCGTGTCATTGGCCCCCTGGCGTGAACAATCCATCTCAAATTGATCTTGCAGCTCGGCCCAGCAGGGCATTCTGAATCAATCTCAAATTGATCTCTGTGCCATAGGTCGGGAAAACTAGCAGTGGAGCTTATCAGAAATATAGTGGTGCTGGGAGGATCTGACAGGGAAACTTATCACACTGCACAACAGGAAATGGGCTGGGAGCCCCCGGGGCAGGAGGGAGGACGCACTGAGACTCAACACATACACAACATAAGTCCACAATAACAACTGCACACAGCCACTGTGTACAGCACTGATACACACATGCTCCACTGTTCAGCACAGGCATCTGTCAGCCACGCCTCCAGGCTGCAAGGAAAATAAAACTTAGTCTGAGAACAACGTGTCAATATATTGTGAATGAGACAGGTGAGACTGGAGACCTGGGGCTCTTAATGACTTATACCACATTTAATGTGTCATCAGAATGGCTGTGTGAAGGCCTGAGGAAGGACAATCAATAGCAGCTTGGGTTTAGACAGTCAGCTTAGGGAGCGATCTGCCTCTCAGGGACAAAAACTTCAACAGAAATGATGTCGACCAGTAAATGGGTCTGAAACCCCAAGAAAAGGACAACTTGCTGTAGGTGGGTCTATAAAAATATAACTGGAAAACTGTTTATAAAAGTTTTTGTATTAGATTCAACAATTGATTGTGTCTGCAGTTTTACAGATCTTTTTATTGTATTAGGGGAATATAATATATGAGGAATCCAATACTGGCTACGTGGGGAAAAAGCGGTACCAGATTTTATTGTCAGCAATATGGGATTTATAATCAGACAGTATTCATTAAATGGTGGTAATATTTATTTGTTGGTGTTATGTTTATTTTGAGGCTTTACTATGGTTACAAAGGTCAAAGGTGAAATTGATTGCACAGCAAAATGATTAAAAAGTTTGCAGAGGGTAAGAAATGCATCTAACAAGTGTGCAGGAGCATGAGATGGTTGAAGAGGGCTTCTGTAAAAGGCCTCCGTCAGCAGCACAGGGGGTAATAGGAGTTTGTGAGGGCACCAGAGGGACTCAGCTGTGGAGTGTTGAATATGAGAGATACAAAGAATAGAGTGCCCGGAGCAGCCTAATGTACTGTCCCATAAGAGTGCAGAGCAAACAC